AAAAGAAGTCAATCAAACAAAAACAACACTGAAAAGGATAGAAATGTTTTTAAAAAAATTAAAAATGACGAAGACATCAGCTGAAAACAGAGTGATTTGAGCATATTTTGCGATATCGAATGCCAAAAATTGATAGGAGATCATAACGATATTGTTTTCTAATATGTCAAGTATATATTATTAAATTATCTCAACTAACATCGGGTACCTCCGCTAGTATAGTTATAAGTTAATTTCATTTGAAAAGAAAATGTTTGAAAAACCTCAGCTCGCTTAAAAGAGATGTTCGAACAGTTCTCTAGTTCATTGGAATGAAGTTCGTCAACGTAAGCCGGTCGATCCCTATTCCTTACTACTCTCCAGGATGATATTTTTAGACAGTTAGATCAAAATCAATCTGTCGTCAATAAATCTTCGCTTTAATTTTTAAAGAACAGCTTATTGTATATTCAGATAAGAAACAAGAAATTTCTCTTCTTATAGAAAAAAATGTTTTTTTCTGGATAGTAGGAGGGAATTTTTGCTTTTTTTGGAAACAAGAAATACACAATTAAAATAAACAATCTTATACAAATTGTAGGGATTTTCACGCTGGATCTTTTGATGCATTTTGCCTTTTTTTGTTGATAAAAGATATCAGGTGATAAAAAGATGAAATAAGAAAAAAATGAATTCAGCTTGTACCAAAAAAATATCGTTTTTGCATAGTCGAAGATTAGTCACTCGAAATTTTGCTCATTATGAGAACAAAAAGTGCAGCTATAAAATAAGCAGTCTTACGTAGATTGTAGAACTTTTCACACTGCATCTAGTGGTATATTTTATTTTTTTGATACAACCTATTAAGTGATTGAAAACTGAAATGCAATGCGTGGTCATTCAGTGGGCCTCACATATTAGTGAAGTTGTATACAAAACAATTCTTATCGAAATATTATTAATCGATGTGAAGCTAGCACGACGTAAAGCTACCACGAAGGATTTAGGTGATCGCTGAATCCTTAATATTGGAACCCAGAGCCGCAGGACCTGCATGTGGGTGCTCGGAAGGACATACCCAACACTCCCATGCAGATCCTATGCCTCTGGGTTCCAACATTGGGGATTCAGAGATCACCTAAATCCTTCGTGGTAGCTTTATGTCGTGCTAGCTTCACATTGATATATTATTATTATGATATTAGTTGAAGAATAATCAAATAGCACAGAAAAATAGAGCATCGTTTTTTCAATCACTACATAACAATAGGAAATCTATTCCAGCTATCTATTAAAGAAATAAGATAATGACGCCACTACTTTTGGTATGCCCTAAGTATTTTGTTAAAAAATACTTTGTTGGCCCTTGTTTGTTCACATAATAATATTTGTAGAGAGTTCGAAAAGCATGGTCTGATAGAAATAGCAATGCGGTACCTTTTTGTAAGAGTCTTTACTATGTTAATCATGGAAATAATGTAATGCTTTTGTACTATATGAGAAGTACGAAAAATGACCATTTTCCGTCTAGGTCTATAAACCCTGTTATCGAAATATACTTCAAGGAATGGTCAGATCAAGCGAATATTTCGGATTTAATACTAACTCTATTAGGCCTTTCTTTTCAGAGGATCAAATAAAAGATAAAAAAATTTTCCCCCGCCATGTCATGTGGTATTCTGGCAGAACGTCTTTTAACTTCTTTTTTTAGAATGTTTAGTTAAGCGAAAGCAGAAAAATATTTAAAAAAAATGACTGTGAGGTAGAAAAGTTATGCAGTAGTCAGACTTGTCTCAAAAACTTTCTAAGCCTCGTCGCATGTTTGGCATTTGATTTATATGTCAAACGACGCCGTTTTTCATGGACTTTCAGAATCTCTTCTTATTTTTCTCAGACATACGTATAACAGTCTTCTTTTGATTTGAACACCTAAAAAAATTTAATCAGAAATTTTCAAGCAATTTTTGTATTTGGATATTTTTCCTTAAATAATATAATCATTGAACAGGGCACTATATAAATTTCTAGAGCAGATTCAGCGTTATCGAATGATTTATAGAATTTATATATTTCACCAAGTTTCTGCAATTATCTAAGCTGATCAAAAAAATTCGGCAAAAATAAGAAATTTTCATAAATTCGAGCAGGGTAGTCCAATTGTGCTTCTTATTTATTCACATCTACATTGGCATCGGTTCCTAATGTTTTGAATTTTATATATATACACTATGGCGTTTCAAACTCCATAGCAAAAATCAAAATGTAAGACATACCTTTGGAGAGCTCCATACAAAGTTCCAACATCCTCTGGCGGAACCTCTCTTATAAGAAGAAAAGAAAGTGACTAACAGAACACAGGGACGCACAACAACTCTCAATTCTAATTTGTCTTTCTTTAATTGCTAAACTTCTATGGTATCAAGTCCATATTTACTTTTTGTTGCAATATTCGTCATTTTTGTCCTTTCCTAATTAGATGTTGCTTTATTGGCTGAGTATATGGATTCCTATGGAGAGGAGAAAAGCAATCAACAACAACAAAAAAATCAAAAGACAAGGACGCCGAAGGTTCTGGGCATACGGGTGTGGTTGTGTAGATCTAGATGTGGGTGTGGATGTGAGTGTGGCTGTGGGTGCAAGTGTGGATGGGGTTGTGGATGTGGGTGTGGATGTGGGTGTGGGTGTCGGTCTGGGTGTGGGTGTGGGTGTGGGTGTGGGTGTGGGTGTGGGTGTGGGGTGTGGGTGTGTGGCTATGACTGTTCATTAAGACTATAATTACACCCACAATCACATACATCCACATCCACACGCTCACCCACAGCCACACCCACACCCACACCCACACAGCCACACCCAGACAGCATCACCCCACACAGCCACACCCAGACAGCATCACCCCACACCCCCACACCCACACACCCACATCGACACCCACACACCACACCCACACACCCACATCCACAAAAACACCCACACACCACACCCACACACCACACCCACACACCACACCCACACACCACACCCACACATCCACATCCACACACCACATCCCCACCCTCACTGCTTCACACAGCTCACTAGTCAAGGGATTTGTGCCACTGTAGTTTTTACCTTGCGAATGTAAATAAAACATGTTAACAAAGAGAAAGTATGAAAGATTGATATTTTTCATGTGTTTCTATTTACCAATCGGTAGCAGCGAAAAGATTTTTGTTTTTTGTATAGCAGCGGTCCGAAAAGAGGTAATTAAGTGACGAAATGTTTGTACAAGAATATTCCATAGCATGAAACTGTTTCAATGTATAATATCGAACTTTGAGTATATTGCTTACAGTCCTAATCAGCTCTAGCCACCTTATTCAAATATCATATGAATTGTAATACTTGGCTTGATTTTATGTAAAGAAGAAGGTGAACGCCGATACGTAGCGTGACCAGTCTTTTATGATCCACTGAAGGCTTTTTATTTATTGATGACATAAAAAGCATATTTAAGAACGAAAATGTGTCCTCGTATGGCTCAAACGTTTTTATAAAAATAGTCAACGCTGAAACAATTGATGCTCAAGGATTTATTTTTATACGAATAAAAAATTTTCTTTAACTTAAATTTGTGCTTCTTCTTGACAGATGGGGGGAGAGTGGGGTAAATCAATGTGGGTAACGAGCAAACTGCCTATATAAGTGACAAAAAAAAACATATTTTTCTATTGCGTTGCAAATTCGACTGGTGAAGTGTAGTTGTTAGATCTCTTGTCTTGTGTAATTAAATAAAATCCATTGATGCCGATCCATTACTATATCTCTCACCGAAAGACTGAAATAAAACGTCGTATCGATGGCATGCTAGCATCAGCACGTATGCCTAGTTGTGCACAATTACAACAAAAATTTTCTGACCATATGACACTAAATCAATCTCAATTACCACGTAAAATGAATCTTCGTTCTGAGATGACACCTGTTGAAGATCAATCTCAAATTGGTAGTTGGTATGTATGAATAATATCATGGGATTTTTCTAGATTAACATAATTGAAATATCTTTTGGTTTAGTGTCGCGAATGCTTTCGCAGGTAGGCATCTTTTTTTCTCAATCTTTTTATAAATGCCTGATTTTTAGGAGCTTATGAATATCTGTTGAATAAAAGCAGTGGTCGTCATATTGATGTTAGTCGATTATTTATTTATTATAATGCTCGTGCCAAAGATGCATATCCACCTGGGCATATAACTGATTCAGGTTGTAGTATAACAAGTGCTCTTGAAACGTTGAAAGAATTAGGTACTTGTGAGGAATCATTGTGGCCTTATGATTTAAACAGTGTGCATGCAAAGCCTAATGAACTAGCATACGACAAAGCATCGGAGAATCAAATCATGGATGCATTAAGCCTTAACGTAGATTTACATGAAATGAAATCATGTCTTGCACAAGGCTATCCGTTTGTATTTGGCTTAGTATTATTCAAATCATTTGATAAGGCATCTAAGAAAGGTTATGTACCGATGCCACAAGGATATGAAGGAAATCGAGAATCACATGGAAGGTTTGATTTTATTTGAATAGATGAATTGCAAGTAAAGCATAACTCATATAACTTACCATTTTAGACATGCAATGTTAGCTGTTGGTTACAATGATCACTCAAACTCATTTATTGTTCGAAATTCATGGTCAGCAAGATGGGTAAATATGATTTTCTTTTAGAGAAATGTATATATATATATATTAAGTTTTCTGTCAGGGTGATGAAGGATATTGCTATATTCCATATGACTATATGACTAACCGGAAACTGTGTTTTGAGCCATACACTGTTCGTCAATTAGAAGCTGATGACATTGGTGATCATGATAGAAATTATGATGACGATGATGATCGACGCGACCATGAAGATAGTGATGACGATGACGATGATGATGATGATGCTGAAATCTCAGGCGTAGAGGACAACGATGACGATGATGATGATGATGCTGAAATCTCAGGCGTAGAGGACAACGATGACGATAGTGAACACTACGGAGAAAACAGTGAACATGAAACGCAAGAACCACAGGGCAATGTAGTAGTGCGACAACAATTCGTAATACAACAAGACATAATAATACCAGGAACAATGCAAGGGATGACGCAGGAACAAATGCAAGAAATGATGCAAGGGATGACACAGGAACAAATGCAAGAAATGATGCAAGGGATGACACAGGAACAAATGCAAGAAATGATGCAAGGGATGACACAGGAACAAATACAAGAAATGATGCAAGGACCATATGATCCAAATGACTCGAGTTGCCAAATCGCTTGATTCGAGCAGAGCAATGCTGGATTCTATACTTCTTTTTTTCTCCTTAGAAAAGATCCGGGAAATACGAACTATTTTTTGACATTTTCTTGTGTCATTCTCAGGATTCTTCCTTTTCTTTCTCAGCGTTAATTGTAGTTGCAAATGAAATTACGAAGAAAATAAGAATAAAAAAAGCGAAAAAGAAGTATTGTATCATTCTTCAGTTGTAATAAGTTAAAAGACATGTTGTTTCTCTAGATAAAACTAAAAATGAAGGCTATCACTTTCATAAAAAATTTCGACACTAAGAACTGATATATTGTAGTTAAAATGTAACCACTATTACTTTTGACAAGAGTTTTTTGGATGACATTTCCACGTCGAGACAGGTTTGTGCTTGAAACTAATTACCATATCGGCACTTATCTGATGTGAAGGTGAAACTGCAGGTTTAGATGCAAATATTTTCTATTGCAACGCAGCCAGCCTTGTCTGGATACACATGGATTCAGCTAGGATTCAGTTGTCGAAATTCTCTGCTCATTTGATTTGATCGTGGTTTGCAGTTTTGTTGGGGATGAGAATCACCGCCCACCGGATTGAGAACTTTTGCATCCTATGTTGGACCCGATCTATATGCATTATAACTCCAATAGTACTTTTTTACTCCAATGACTTAATCACTCTCGAGATTCAAGTTGCTTTTTCACTTATTTAATCAATAGATTTTGCTTTATTGATTTCTTCACCACACACTGATCAATAATAAATTCACTCACGTCCGATATTTATTTTCCTTATTCCACTACTATTTACTTATAAGTGCTTACTAAATGTAGAGACGGTTTTGAATTTTGTGAACATCTTCAGCGTATACGTATATCAATTGAAACTCAAAAAATAACCCATAGGATAGATTTCTGATCTTCTTCAATCAATTAACCAATAGAACAGATATTTATCGGAATAAAAACAACATTCGTGTTTTCAAGGGTGTGGGTGGGTGTGGGTGAATGGGTATGTGGGGTGTGTGGGTGTGGGTGAATGGGTATGTGGGGTGTGTGGGTGTGGTGGTGTGGATGTGGGTGGGTATGGTGCTGTGGGTGTGGATAGTGTGTCATTTTTACCAAGCACGAGCATGAACACATCACAACCACACCCACACCCACCCACATCCCCCACACCCTCATATACGTAGACAAAAGGTATAATAACTTCCAAAAATAACCTTTAGCTTGGCGAATGATTTATTTTTTATTGAAAAAGTATTTAATCAAGATAGAATTATAATTATAAAGAAAATCAATTTTATTTGATCTCCAAACAGAACAGAGTTGGAAATTAACTAACTTCAATCAGGAAAAATTATATTTTTGTGTACTCAAAAAGTGAGTACACTCTAGAATCGGTCAGTGTGTCCGTCCGGCCGTTTACACGATAACTTTTGAAAGGAGAGTTCAATCGCGATGAAATTTTCTACACAGTTCAGTCTAAACAATGTCTCGATCGAGTTCGAAGATGAGCATGATTGGCCGAGCCGTTCCTGAGTTATTACAAAAATACTCATTTTTTCCTATGGCTTCCTTTGCGAAAATCGACCCATCCCCGCTTTCGTAAAAGACTTTTCCTATCATACTCAAACAAAACCCCAACTATTATATACCATTCGATAGAGAATTTTACGAGCTACAAAGTGGTATATATAACATAAAGAAACACGAAGGCTAACTCACCTGTTGCCAAGATAATCAGACTGAAATAGGTTCTGTTTTCGTCCACGCTCTAGTGGATCTGAAAATGAAGCTCTACCTTCCAATCACGGACATGATATTTCGAGGTTTTTTGGGGCGGAGAACTCGAAGCTGTCATCCATTCGCCTTGAAATACCATTGGTTGATCAGGGACCAATAGAAATCAAGCTATAGGAAAAACGACTTTCTTAGGGTAAATCAAGGCGAATAGTTCAAATCTGAGCTGTATTCATCCCCAAGTCCTATTGGTTGAGAGTAGCCAATAGAAATCAAGTATTTTATAGAAAAGGTTTGCCAGGATAATTTTGATGTCCACACATTCTAGGATGACTCAACTGTCTCATTCACTTTTTGAAGTACACATAACTCTCGGATTTAAATCCGAGGTTTTCACATTTATTATTATTATTAAAATGAATTAGATATATCGCGTACATAAGTATAGATTTTTTCTTTAT